TTTTTTTTTTAAATACATATTAAAATATATATAAATGACATGATAAAAAATATATAAAAATACTACTTTTATGTAAAAATAACTTGAAGTTTTAAATTTAAGCGGCATTTTTACAACATAAACAAAAAAAAATAGTTTCATGTAAAATTACAGAAAAAATGGAATTTTACATTTATGTGATTATTGTAGCTAATCAGAATTTATATGTTCATTGCATCAAAAAAAAAAGATGGACGAGGCAAAGAGGCTAGGTCTGCTCGCTTTTATATTTTACATTTTGTATGTGAAATTCCGTATTTAATGGAATTTCAAAAATACATATTACATGTGAAATTAATATAATCTGTAATTTTCCATGTAAGCTGCAATATTACATAATTATATTGGATCGAAAAAAACCTCGCATAATCATGTAATTTTACACAAATATTTTTTTCAATGTAGACTAATACTATATTGATTATGGATTCACCATAATTAATATCAATATTATGATGAATATTATTTAGTAAAATTACTTTTATTCATGTCCTCGTGTGCTATACATCGCAAAAGTTTTGCGTGCAACTCTAGATTAACATCATCCTTCAGAGACTGCCATAGACATAAAAATTCGTAAGGAGATTCGATGTTCAGTTTCTGAAACAAATTACATGAAATATCTTTTATTTCTCGTTTTCTTTTAATTTTGTCTTTTACTTAATTTTTTTTATTAGTTGTGCGATTTCTAGCAAGTTAAATTAAATTTCTTTGCAATTTTTTGAAAATGCTGTTTGAGAATTTTTAAATTTAAGAAAATATAAAATTGTATATACTGTGTTTTGAAATCTGAAATTATATTCACCTGAAAATCCATTTCCAATTTGTTTTTTATTTGACACTCGTTAGTAATAATTTTGTTAAATGTACTCGCTTTAGTCTTGCCTTCCTTTCCAGAAGTTAATTTTTTGTTCTTGTCTATATTTGATTTTTGATTTAACAGCATATCACTCTCCTCTTTTGTCTTTTTTTTCATTTTTATCCTTACTTCGTTACCGCTAGTCTTTGATTTCTCATACTTATCAGCCTGAATTTGGCTATACTTTGAGTTTGTTTCAGTTTTACTCTCTTTTTCGAGAAAGATTGATTCCTTATTTTTATTCGTACATGATTTCTTTGTTGCATTTTTTTCTTCTACCGGACTCGTTCCTTTCTTTGCTTCTTTCTTTACTTTGCCAGAGTTGGCAGGTTCCATCGATTTCTCGTACGCTTCGTCGCTCGGAAGCTCTTCAATGATAACTGTGGATGGCTTCGTTTTATTCATAGGCGACGACACGCATGAAAAGATCGACTTCTCCAATCTACCCTTTGCGCCACGTAGTCCGGGAAATGATTCGCGTGAAATCGTGAAAATATCCTCGCTCTCGAAGTCTTGCGATCTCGTCGTTTTATTTTTGGCGCCGAAATTCCTCGCAACAGGTGATAATTTATCACCGCTCGATGAATCGCGTGTTGTTTTCTCGTTGCTTTTATTTGCTACGGTATCCGCTACTGCTGCTTCTACTGCCATCACTTTGTTGCTCTTGGTTTCCACGCAGTAACTCGCTTTTAAATGCGGTTTCGTTGCAATACTTCGCGACGGTCCTGGCGCTCTGTCGCAATAACATATATCGCTGTTAACACTCAGTTTTGAATACTCGATGCTGTTTGTTTTCACAGTTCTCTTCGTTTTTATATGCTCGCTCTTGTTTTCATCATCGTTCATATTTTCTTCGATCTTCATCCTGTTAGAATAGTTATAATTTTGCTACAATTAATATAGATCATATCTATTAATCACATATTAATAATAATTAATATAATGATTACATCTTTTTATGAATTGTCATAATTTTAACTGCAATTACAAATAAATATTGTAAGTATAATAATAATAATAATAATAATAATATCGTAATACTTTGAGATTTAAAAATTTATCAATTTAAATTTATTCGATAAAAGTTGCAATATATTATATGATAATGGGTTGTTTATTATTATCATCATAATACTAGAATTAAAAATTGAATTTTTACCTTATTTTCCTCGACTTGCATGGCTTTTTCAACTTGTTTATATAGGATATTGCTGTTTTATTAGTTGGCTCTAATTTTAACACAGCTTCGTAATCTACCAGAGCCTATATAAAATAATATATTAGTTAATTGTACGCAAGATTTACGAAATATTACTTAAAGTCATTCTACATAAGTCGCAAACGCAAAATATAACTCGCAATGCTTGTCGTGAGAACAAATCAAAAGTGTCAATGATATTATTGAATGCTTCTGATTAGCTGTTGCGACAAGTGTTGAGAACTTCGTTTTGCGTTTACGACTTATGTATATAGAATAATTATTATAAATTAATATGGATGTTATGTGTGCAACTTGGTGTGCAATTTTTATACCTCGTGCGGTTTTTCTAGATGCTCCAGGGATAATGCTCGACGAAGGAGCGCTTTGATATTTCTGTAATCCATACTGAGTACCGTGTTGCAGTCGTTAAGCGCGTCCTTATAATGCTGCAGCTTTATAACTGAACGCAATATATGGCTCATTGGGATTTTATTATGCAACACAAAATGTTGGTAAATTTTGAATTGAGACAGCACAAAATATCTTACTTTGCTAGTAATAATAATAATAATAATAATAATAATAATAATATGATTTTTAATTTTTCAATTTAACTTTTTTATCATTTTAAATGATTCATCTTGAATAATTTATCCAAGATTTACATTTTGTAAAAAAAAAATATAAAAACTCGAATATCTTTAACTGTTTTGTCGTATAATCGCGTATGATTATTAATTTACTGTAATCAGAACGAAAAAAGCAAAAGAATACGTTTTCTTACATGTCATAGCACGATTGTTGTAGGCATTTAGATTTGAGTTTATGTCGATGCTAGCGTTGTAATGCCGAAGAGCTTCCTCGTAATCAGCCGCTCTGAAAGCTTCATTCCCTTTTTCTCTTTCTTGTTCCGCCATTACGTTAAGTTCCGTACCAGTTAATGAAGCTAACAGTAGATTAGGAGATTTAGTAAATCTAATTTAAGAGGGATCAGGATCCAATTTTGATTAAAATTAATGGGAGGTCGAGATTATAAATTCTATGAAAATTAATGAGAGAAACTAAATGTACGAACTGTCTGGAGCATGTCTGTGAATTTATAGTCAGACAGCTCTTTACTCTCTTAATTAACCGTCGTGACATTTTAAAGACGTTACTTTATGAACGTACGTTTATCAACTGTCGTTTTATATGCCATTTTATCTAGTTCTTTTCGCTGTTCCTGGATTCTCTTCATTTCGGCCTGTCGTTGCTCGTCTTGCAGGTCTATCCTGTTTATTTCTGTGTCAACGTCGTATTTATCCCAAGCCCCATAATCACACGAGGCAATTCGTTTGGGTTTGCATTTTTTCTCGTTGATCTTCGTTTTTTTAGCCTTAAAACACGACATATGAATTAAGCCATTAAACAATTGTTATACATATTTTTTCTTTAAGTAAGCCTAATAAATGTAGAAGTCTATTAAGAGTTTAGTTTTGTATCAATTAATAATTTCTTGCAATTTGAAAAATAGTTCATTGATTTTGACTTTAAGAATTAATTAATTGATTAATAGAAAAAAAAATATATATATATAATAATGTATATCATAAGATACGAATTTGAAGAGGCATTAATATTTCAAATTATTGCAAAATAAAGTAAGAGACGCTTAAGACATCTTAACAAAATGTATATCTCTGTACTTGGATTATTATATCAATATATGTACCTTTGTAATATTTGTTTTTATCTGTCGAATTTCTGGCTGTAGACAGGGCTCGTCAGTAAGGATAACTTTTCCTTCGTCCAAATCTTTCTCACGAGATTGCATCTCGCACATCCAATTGCTGATGTCGTCGTCGATTTCCTGCTGTTCGTTCGCATTTAACATATTTCGTCTCAAAACTGGCTCCGCCTTTCTCAAAAGAGCGCTTGTCGGTTTAATCCTAGCGAGACGCTCCTCCGCGTGCTTCGTCAAATCTGGATAGTCTCCCTCTTCCCCAGAACTAGTATTAAAACCGCATGTGGAGAAGTTTATGACGAATCGTTAATAAACGTGCCGGAAAATAACAGGTTTAATGGCATTTTAAGCAGTAGGGTTGCAAATCTCGCTGATGATTAGCGCAAAAATTAAAAATTGTCAGTATGTACTATAATTATCATAATGTACCGAGGATTAGTTGAGAGGTACTCACAAAATAGGAAGCTTTAAGATATTAATAATATTTTGCATAAAGAGGGTCTAAGAGGCGCCAGCAAACCTGATTGGCAGACGTATAGAAAATTTTTTAACGCATCACAGTGCAAGATAAAATAATAATAAACGATAGTAATCAATTAGCGTCAAACACGAACGTTGTTTCCTCGCTGGTCTGGAGAATTTCCGGCGTCTCAAGAAACTCACCGTAAGATGAGAACGATTCGCTCCAGTGTTCTCCCATCGGTGCATTGCGATATGAATTCGTACGAGACATTTTCCACCGGTATGTTGTATCTCTCGAGCAGAGTTTTTTTCTCAGGTTTTCTTTCCACGACGCTAATTATATCCGTCTCCTTTTCGTTGCCCATGATAATGAACGCGAAAGTGGGGAGAGGACGATCTGAAGATTACTGCAAATAGGTTACCTTCTAGGCTCCACGCGTTTGACAGAGGCAATGGTTGAGTAGCGGTTGAGTAGAGATCGAACCGGATTTTTTGGATTCTCCAAGAGTGCATGCCAATTACCTTGAATTACTACTCTGATCTCGTGACTCTGACGTCGTTGATGGTTGTCTTCGCTGACGCGCCCTTTTGATTCGTCAAGTTACCACGGATACATAAGTTGTTGATTTTCTGCGCAACTTGGACCTTCCTTCGTAACGATCAATAATACCTGAGATATACATAAATTTCCACGAAGATGAATGTTAAAGGATCGCATATAATGCGTTTTTAAATGTTAAAAATCTTTTCTCAAACATTAGGATCAGATTTATTTAAATTTTCGCAAAAAAAAGCTTTACCTAGAGCTTTTGCTAAACTATACGCTTACATTCGCCGAATAAAATTTTCAAAAATTCTTAAAAAAGACGCTCTTATAGTCTCATCTTTCCGTCGACGCATTTCTACACGGAAAGAACAGTTCTGCTGAAGTATTTAAAAATTTAGGTACAGATAACAGATTTGGAAATGTGATTTTATTAGGTCATCAAAATAATTATGTAGAATATTTAAGTGATGACAATGTGTTAATGCTGCAAAAAGTTAACATTTTAGTAATTAGTTTGAGTGCTCTACATAATTATTTTTGACGGTATAAAGAATCATCATTTTCTGATATCTATATGTATATATCTAGCTGAATTTTTAGATACTCCAGCGAAAAAACTTCCCTAAAATTTTGCAATCTATGGAAGAAGTTATACTATGCGTATCTATTTGTATTATACAATCCTGATGAAGAACGGCTACACGGTGAAGTTAGCAACGCGTCTAACGAGGATAAACACGCATTTCCACCTTCGTCGGCGCCGCGCCGTGCCCGAGAGGAGTATTCTTCTCTCCTTTTTCCGACACAACCCCTCCTCCTCCCCCCTCCCCCTTCTCCTCCTTTCAAGCGTACACGCGCACGCTTGCCTGTTAACACGGCAGTTGGCTCGCAACCTCATCGTAACGCGACGCGACGCAACGCGAAGTGCAGCAGTACACGGCGAATGAAAGAGA